CCTCTTTTCTTCTAGAGATACAGTGCAGTGTTCTCCATCCTCGTCTTTCTGATCATGTTCTCTAATGTCTTAATGACTTTTATGGTGAAGTGGGTACCACTTCCAACATATTTTCACTCTGTTTTTATGAGCCTTTTACTTGTTCTTGGGGAACGCTGTAATGAGCACTGATTTCTTTTATTCTGCTTTAGTTAATCAGCTAAGCTTCTTCCTAACTGAAGATCATCTGGGCAAAAAGAGAGTATTTTTCTTTGTGCCTAGTGTTTTTTTTTGGTACAACTTGTATTGCAGTGTTTGGGAAGGACCTTGATGGCCGAGTGGATTTTTTTTTGTTTAACCTGACTTCTAGTTTTGTTTGGTTAACGGTTTCAATCAGTCTGCAGTCGTAAGGGACTCTGCCCGGTCCAGTTTTCGTTTCTCCCACCCACTGGCCCCGCCCCTCCCACCAGAACACCCACTCCTACCTCAGGCGCTGAGAACTTCTGCAGACCCGTTCCCCGTTGGTCCTAAGAGAGCCGTTCTCATCACTTTGTAGTGAGACTCTCACAGCCATACAGTTACAGAATTCCAAATCAATAACTACCCAGGGCTCCAGAACCATTTTTATAATAGCAACTGCTCTTTATATATATTGGTACAAGGTCACATGGCAAGAGGCAAAGTCAAGCCCTGAGCCCAAGGCTGCGTCATTCCAAGGCTTATTTCTGTCCTTCTGAGCCTGTGGGCCTGACAGATTGACATTGGGTGAGCACACATTCCCCCCCCCCCCCCGCCCGCATCCCTGCTCACCCTCACACAATAACACAGCCTTGTATGTTCTTCTCTCTTCTCTTCCTTCACCATTTCCTTTTAAATGATATTCCCTTTTAAAATTACTCAAAGAGCTAGTGGTCTGCCCTGTGGAAAACTCTTACCGAGAGTATCTCAGTGACCCTTGATAATGTTTGAGCCAGTTCTTACTGGACGTTTTGAGGATCACAGTTTACCTACATCTTCATTATTTATAATGTTAGGAAAAAATAATAAGTTATCAGGACAAAGATAGTAACACATTTTTCCCATGTAAAACGTAGGCTGTGTCCTTAACACAATATGTTGACATCCATTCTTGAGAGTTTCAGAATTAAATGTATATGTGGAGCCAATAAAAGAGAAATATAGTGAAAGCTTTATCTCAGGTCAGGAAACAAACATTAATAAATGTTAGATAGCTTTAGTGAGAAAAAATGTATCAAAAACTCTAAATTAATATGAAAAAGAGTCTCCAGACCAAAGCACACGAATAAATAATTTACTGTTAAAGAAACTGAAACTGCTATTAAAAATAGAAGGCTTTTTCCCCCCTCTGGTAATGGAGAGTCAGGAGAAATGCTTACAAGGCCATCTTCACAGTCTTCTAAAGATGGGCCAACCAAAGTTCCTTGCAGAAGAGCAAGTTCCAAGTCACCGATGGAATTCATGAGGACAGTAATCCCAGAGATCTTTGGGAAGGAATGCGCATAGCTGCGTACATGTTGCCTGATCGTCTTTTCTGACTTGAGACCCTGCAATAGGTGCTGATGTTTCCTCTGACATTTTGGTCACGCCTGCAGTGTGCCACCGAGCCTGCCTCAGACACAGAAGGCCAGGCCAACATTTCCAACCCACTGATTCCACGCGTCACTAAAGTGCTCTCCTGCAGAGAACAAACGCAACAGCAAACAGGGTCGACTACCAGCAGCAAGTAGTGCCAGCACAGACTACAGCAGGCAGGAGAAATGGCAGAATATTTATCACAGAAAACAAGTGAAATGCACTCATTATAGAAATAGTGACCTGTAGGCTAGAGAAGAAGTAACAGTTCACTACTCCTGCAGTCAACGCCTTGAGCCATTTAACTGTCTACTCGCTTAAAGTCATGCTATCTGACTAGCTTTTTACTAGGTTTTAAATGTGTAACCAAGAAAACTTTCTCATAGTCTTCATTCTTCTTAGGCTGCTTAACACCTTTGGGTATAGTTTTGCATTGGGCTTTGAAAAAATTGTAACAGAGGGGACACTTAGGAAGATAAGCAGCCCCCTTCCGTCCCTCTCTTCCTCCTTCCCTCCCTCCCTGTCTTCCTCCTTCCCTCCCTCCATCCATCTCTCTTTTTCTCTTTCTCCTTCCATCTTTCCCTCCTTCTCTCCCTCACTCCTTCCCTCCCTCCTTCCCTCTCTCCTGGCCTCCATCCTTCTGGCTTGTCACCAGCATGTTGCCCTGCGCTCCTAGACTCCCAGTCTTCCATTGAGAGAGGCCCTCCTCCCCACTGGCCAGCTCCACCCCGAAGCCCAAGAACCGGATTGGGAAGTGTACGTGGTCTGTTGTTCAGGGCAGGGGGCATGGTGCCCGAGGACAGGACTGGAGGGCAAAGGAAGGGATCCAGCATGCGCTCTCGTTTCTATTTTAAAACAATACTTGGAAGGGATTTAGAAGCAGCCAAAAGAGACCCAGCTGAGGTTGTAATTTAGTTTGTCACAGGGTAGCTGTGAAGTGACCTCTGTGAGCCATGTTTTTAATAATCTTGAAAAACCAAAAGAACTGTGATCAAACTACTGAACTCATCCTGCAGGGGTGTCTCGAATATGTTGTTTTCATGAGTGGGCTTTTAAAGGGATCCAGTATATTGAGACATTGATATAAACTGTGCAAAAAAAAATACAGTCACAGCTCTTCCTGTATGTCTTTGTAGTTTGCAGAGAGATTCTGATTTGAAGAGATTTCATGGTGAAATCAGACTTCAGCTGTTAGGTGATGAATTTTAAAAGCAGGAATGGCTATGTTCCCTGAACACGTAGTACGGAAGGAAGAGAGAGAAGATAATTCCATTCCTGAGACAGGTGTAGCCTGTGTAGATGACACTACCAGGAAGACAATGGAGAAAAGATGGGTTTGGAAGAGACTGACCACAGAACAATAGGAGCGATTAAGACCACTATGTCTGTATCTATTAATGTTTTTATTAAAGAGGATTGACAGGTTCACAAAATGAGATCTTGTGAGAGACTCTGGTTGGATTCCACAGGCTAGCTATTTAGGGAAATGTCTTTCATCACGTTATCTGCATTGATGGAAAAAAGAAAAACCTCCATAGCCCTCCAGTGGTCACAGTATCTTTGCAGAACATAAGATTCCACAAAATCCAAGAGTCACAGAAGGCCAAACAGCTGCGGGAGAGTACAAATAGCTCTAATCCGAAATGCATGATTTATCCAATGGGCACATGATTGCTAGCAATCTTACTTTTTTTGGTGGTTACGAAATTGAGCATAGTAGTGCATGTGATTCTATTTGAAGGCTTTAAAAGAGTTTGTTGTTGTTGTTTTACAACAATCATGCAGGAATATTGGGGAGTTTAATTTAAGTAAGAGAACTATGTGGAGGTTTATTAAGAAGATAGAATGGGAAAAATGAGAAAGTAATACAGAGAGACCTTCAGTTGGGAGAATATTAAGTAGACTGCCTTGGGAAGAGGCTTGTAGTTGCTTGTCTGCGTTGGGCTAATCTACATAATTGACTAAAACAGAATGAACAGCTGTGAAATACAGTATTTGGATGTGTGGGTAAAACAAATTACAATCTATACAAGGTCACAGAACATGGAATGTATTTTCATAGAATTATAGAATTTCAAAGCTTGTCCAGGGTATAAGAAATCAACCAATCTTCCAGAGAAGCTAAATTTACTTTGTCAAGGTCATCTACCTGCTTGTATGAAACCAGATAAATAAAATCAAAGCTCAGCTCTACCACCTAAGCTGTCTCTTGGCAAAGACCATTCTATCTTTCTATACCTCAGTGTTCCAATCTGGAAAATGAAATTGATAATTAGATTAAGTAAGATAATACATCTAGTCACTGGTGGTTCATGCCTCTAATCTTAACTACTCAGAAGGCTGAGATTTGAGGATCACAGATTGAATGCAGCCTGAGCAAAAGGTCCATGAGACTCTTATCTCCAATTAACTTGTAAAAAGCTAGAAGTGGAGGTATGGCTTAAATGGTAGAGTGCTAGCCTTGAGTGCAAAATTAAAGTAAGAACTCAAGGCCCTGAGTTCAGTCCCCACCATTGGAACAAAAAGAAGGAAAAGAAAAGAGAAAAAAGAAAGGAAGGAAAGAAAGAAAGCACAAGAAAGAGAGAGGGGAAGTAAAAAGGAAAAAAGGGAGAGAGAAAGAAGGAAGAAAGAAGGAAAGAAAGGAAGGAAGGAAGGAAGGACATTTTGCAGTAACACTAGAGAATATATCGAACTTCTTAGTAAACAATCTAAAATGAGGGTCTGTTAAAACACTGTTAAGAAAAAATGAGCATATAAAGGATCAAGCTAATATTTACGACAAGATCAGATATTAAAGGCTTGAGAAAGGAAGCAGGAAACAAATGTCAAGGGAAGAGAAACTCTTTGTCATGATTCTTAGGCATTCTGCGAGCCCTCGAGCCACCCTACTCTCCACCAGGACCCAGAGGAAGCCCCAGAACTGTGTGTGTAGCCAACAGTCTGTGTGATTGGGCACCGGGGGTTAATAGACCACACTGAGAAACACTGACTTAGCCTCTTCTCCTTATTTCACGAATCTGCACGAGACTTGTGAAGGAAAGTGCTCGGGCAGCCCTCACTTCTGTCCTCGTTGGAGCCTGCGCTGAATCAGGCTCCGGCAGAGCAGCTTTGTTCTCTGCAGACTTAGCTTTAACTCCTACTGCCATTCGAGGGGGTGAAGAGGATCAGAGACATCATGTGCATGTCCAGAAACACCACAAGGCACTGCATGATACAATGGGAAGCGAGATAAACATGAAATGTAATGCGCCATCATGTAATATACCCCGTGACCCTTCCTGAAACCTTCTAGGTTGGTCTGATGTGTTAAATTGCTTCATAACACGTCAGGACCCATGAAAAATAACTCGTTGGATTGCTATAAAAGAAAAATCAATTCAACTCCAGGCGTGGATCCGCTCACCACACATATGCCATTTGTTTTCTAGAATCACAACCACGGCTGCCTGTATGATGGACCTGAGACGGTACCCACTGGACGAACAAAACTGCACGCTGGAAATCGAGAGCTGTAAGTCTGTCTGAGGGGCCAGCTAGGCTGAGCTCTGCTTCAAGAGTCCGTTGGGCAGAGGCCCAGCTCTTGTCTACAGTAAATCCTGCCAAGGTTCCTGTAGAGCCAGTAGATTATGGGATGTTGGCAGTTGATTTTGTGTTGAGCTACCGTGATCGAGGTCTAACGCTTATATTCATGCTGAAAGCCATGCTATGAGCATGATTGGTGTGTGTGTGTGTGTGTGTGTGTGTGCGCGCGCGCGCGTGCGCATGTGCACACGTGTGTATGCATTTACTGTACTGACCTGTTTAGCAGTGTAGCTGCTTTTCTGGGCTCCGGTTTGAGCTTCTGTGTTGATGAGTCAGTCAGCAAATGTTGGTTTCATAACCTGTCTCTATTTCAGGGTCACTTGGGAGGGAGCAGGAGGTGGAAAAACATCTCAACTCTTCTTTCCTCTGTCAGTGCTTTGGAATGATTTCCCTCCTGGTCCCACCAAATGAACAATTTGGAAACTGGTGATTTTTCCATGCGCCGTTGTTCATCAGGAGGAGTGAGGCTGCCATGAGGGGCCTTTGTGAGGGATTTTATGTGTGTCAGCCATTGTCACTTGCAGTCGCTGCTCTGAGCAGAAATAACAGCATTCACAGCACATGATGGGTATTTTTGCCCATTTCAAAAGATAGCTTCTAGGGTCTAATTAATTTTGCATGGATTTTTTTTTTTGAAGAAACTTCATGCCCTACTCCACATCATCATTATTTTTAAATTAGATCTTTGCCTTGCAGAACTACTTGATGAATTGGCTCTATAGGATTTCAGTGATTAATTTTATGTAAATATCTTTAGGGTAACAGTTCATGTTTCACTGTCTTATCTTACAGTACAACTTAGGGCACAATACTCTCCAAAGGCCAAATTCTTTGGCAGTTTCAAATCATTGACTCAGTGATCTTTATTAATTATTCTCTTAATGATCTGTAAATGGCTGCACAATTTTGTTTTGATTGAACATGTCCGTTCATGAGCTTGAGCCGTGGCAGCCCTTCTTTTATTCTCTTCTTTTTCCTGTCTGTCCTAACTGTCCACCTGTCCCCTCAACTTTTCTAGTTCCATTTTCACACGTACACATGGGTGTTATGACTCTCTTCACCTACCATTCCTCTCACTTTGCAGAGAATATTTCTGGGTACCACTAAATGAATTTTTGGTGTCATGAGAGCATTTTTGGACTTTTGCGTGTGAAATTTTACTTGAGCGTTAAGTGATCGTGGTTGTACATGGATGAAGTCCTGTCACCAATCACACTTCATGAGAGTCTCCCTCATCCCGTTCAGGACATAGCCTTTCACTTGTAGCGGACTCAAGACTAAGGACATAACACCCAAGCACTTCATGGTGTCATTAAGTTAGAATCTTGACATGAATATTCACATGATAATTCATTATGCTTTGCACAGGTTAATTTTCAGTGTAGCCCTTCTGTGGACATCAGAACATATTCCTATAACCAGAGACACAGATTCGAAAAGATAATGTGCTTTGTCCAGGCCCGCCCAGTCCTTTACTGGCAGAATGAGCGGCCATGGTGACTCAACTCTGACTTCCCTTAGGAAAGACGCCGATTGTGGAGGAACCAGATGGACAGACTCGTGTTTTAATTCCAAGTCAGGAAAGTATCCTGTTCTTAAGGGGAAATCTGGATTCTGTATTCATTATGCATATAGAGCAGAGAACAAATCGTTGTTATGGAGAATGAAATTTGGTATTCCATTCGTGGCATTCAGCATTTGTATTATAAATAGTTGACTAATTAAGCATATTAAAATAAGCTCAGAGCTCAGCTTCTTTCCCTTAAAAAAGAAAATCCCAGTTGTCTGACATTCTACTTTCTTTTTTCCGTCTTTGTATTTTTTTCATACATAGCTAGTTTTATTTAATCACTGTCTAATATAAAATACCATTTTTTCATCTACTCCTTTCCTTTCCGCAAGTCGTAGGCCTCTCTGGCCTTCTGTCTCTCTCTGCCCTTTTCTTCCTTCTCTCAGTCCTCTCCCTTCCTGTGTTGGCTCTCAAATGAAAAAGACCCTAAGGGCTGCTAAATCATGAATACTTGTCAGCATTTTGTCAGTAAATACATCCGTTCTGTTTCAGAGAGGATAACAACACTGGCTGCTGGATGTCTTGAACTGGTGAAACACAGGAATGGGTTCCTTGCTCATTTGTTAATTTAGTCATTCAAGGATTTACTTATTCTAAAAGTATTTCTTTAGCCCTCATTATCCACCAGGCATTATAAGAAGCTTTAGAAATATAATGAAAAGAACAACACACCATACTATACCTCCCCTCTTCCCTTCTGATGATTAATAGACATAACTCAAATAAATCCATGAATAAAACAACTGCATCAGTGAAAGAAAAAGTGATGCCAAGATAAAGTGTCTCATCCTCTTAAGACCTTAAACTACTTAGAGCGAGCCTTGAGATCCACCTTGAGGTTTCTGCGTGGTCAGTGTAGCTGCGTTTACTTCATTACTTCACTTAAATAGAGATGGAGCGAGAAGCTCTGAGTAGTTAATGGGATTTGCAGAATTAAATAGGCCCTGGTCATATTCATCACCGTGCAGGCCGAACCAGAAAAGAGAATCCATTCTGAGGTGCTTCCAACCATGACTCTTAAATAGCTTTTACCTAATTATTCCCGTTATCTCTGCAGTCGGAGGCAGTTTGTCATATTTTGTTCATGTAGCATCATATGCAGGTGAGCTGACACGGCAGGTAAGTTTCATTACTTCCGGTGCCATCCACTGCCTTCTAGAGTGATTCAGCCAGCTGCCAACAGGGTAAAATCAAACTAATACCTTTCACCACCTCCGAGTTAGGAAATAGCATTAATAACTAGCTTCAGAATCCAAAGATGAAGGGGAAGGACAGCCTGGTTGTAAGTATAATCCATTCATGGTTTCATTATCTAACCCTTTAAATGGATCAAAAAAGCAGCCACCTGCTGCTCTTCTAACTGAGCCCAAGTCCCTGTGGACTTGCAACAGCGTTGGTACAAAGACCTCTGCTCCTGAAGACGCTCAGTGTGCAGCAGAAGCTTCAAGTAGGCCTGCTATTGTCTAATTGAATTCCAGTTTGGATATCATGCCTATTGATAAAATAATGCCTCTCTGTATTCAACCATTTCATTCTAGAGCATTCTATTGAAGGGGTCAGCAGATTTCTTTCTGTAAAGTACTGGAGGTGTGCAGTACAAATTTAGCACAGCACTGGGGTCATACATCCCGAAGCTAGGTTATGCTGGATAATATTTTAGTCAGCACAACTATAAAATTTTCAAGGGCTTAGATGTAATAAAAATACTGTTGTGTTTTTGGACTTTAAGTCAGAGGGACCTTGGAGTTGTGGGTATACTGGCAGCGGAGGGTGTGAGCAGGAGGGGCTCCGTGAACGGTGATATAGTGATAACATGTGGTCTGGTGATGATAAGGTGATGTGGTCACATGAGGTTGGTGTGGGGTTGATACAGTAATATGGTAATGGTATGGTGATATGGTGATGATAAAGTGGTATGGTGGTGAAGGCTTTTTAAAAATATAAATAGGCCTAGCGTGGAGCTAACTAGACAGGTGATACAGCTCCTGCAAGTTTCTCATTTGTACAGTCTTGCACAAAAGGTAGACTTCTGTGCAGTGCTCGGTATTGCTGTAGCAGCTCTGATTGCTATAGTACCATCATGATCATTACCAAATTAAACCTGGCATATGGTGCCCAATTAGAATCACATGTTTTCAGAGGAGCATTCACCCATCAGAACAGCCAAAGCAAAGAGCGGATGGCGTATAAACGGTGGAGAACCTGAAGACACTGGACTCCGGTGCGGGATGCCCATTTGCCCCGGGGAAGGGACATTTACAGAATAGGGATTTTCAGATAGCCATGGAATTGCCTCTTAAGAGAGCAAGCAGCCTGTGTCTTCCCTAAGGGAAGAACTAGTCCAAAGGTAAAAGATGCAAAAAAGGCAATTTGAGACTGAAAAGTTAAAAAAAAAGGAAAAACTCATCGCAATTATAGCTAGGAAAAATCAGATGGGTTGCTGCCTTACAGTATGCCATTTTCTGGGACCATTGGGCGAATGATAAGAGTAGAACATTTCTGTTTCTAAGTAGTTGTGGGTTGAAGTTTACTTGGTACCAATAAAAATGGGAAACTTTAATTAAAGGGCAATTAGACAAGCGCTGGAGCAAATACCTCTGGGAGCAATGCTGTTTAGGAAAAGATGAAACTCACATCCCTGCTAAGGTTTTAACTTGAACGTTCCATGTGTGCGTGCGTGCATGTGTGTGTGTGTGTGTGTGTGTGTGTGTGTTGCTGAAGGGCTTATTATCTAGCAAATAACCTGCTTTTCTCAGATTTACACAATAAGATTCTAAACTATTTTCTATTTTTCTAAATAATCTAACTCCCTTCCCCCCTCCCCCTTTGCCTTTTGTATTTCTTACCTTTTTTCTTCTGATCAGGAGGCTCGAACTCAAGGCCTAGGTGCTGTCCCTGAGCTTTTGTGCTCAAGACCAATGCTCTACCACTTGAGCTACTCCTCCACTTCCATCTTTTTGCTGGTTAATCAGAGATAAGACTCTTATGTGACTCCTAATAAGACTTCCTGCCTGGGTAGGTTCGCTGCAAATTGTGATCTTCAGATCTCAGCCTCCTGAGTCACTAGGAGTACAGGTGTGAGACACTGGCGCCCAACTCCTGTCTTTTAAGGCCCAACAGAAGTTGTTTGCATGCATCAGCCCTGTCGGGCTGACAGAGTGGCGATATGAAGTAATAACGCTTCCAAGAATTTCAGATGATCTCAGAATTCTTTTTTGAATTTTAATTTCTTAGTATCTTCACTTGTGCTGCGCGCCGGGCATCTTGATCACTGTCACCCGCCCATCATTCCCCGTCTCGTTTCGATTAGAGAAATATTCCTGCGAAACTCTGGCAATGCCTCGTGTAATTATTTATCA